AGGTATAGCTCGTTTGGTAACTGTGCCAGAACCAAAGACTTTGGCTGTCAGTTATAAAATCTACAATTCATTTTACAACTGATAGATGAAATTATCGGATAGTGTTCATATACCAACTAAAAAGATTGTGGCGCCGATAAAAGTCTACGACAGCTCCCTATCGAGAACTGAACTATAAATAATATAGATTGCGTTCCCCAGTCCCTTCCAGCACCTTCAATTATCGCAAACAGCTCTGGCACCCATTCAACAAACGAATCCGAGAGCTCTTCAGTCCTTAAATATTTCCGCACAGTTTGCTTTTGCTGTACTTGCACTTTTCAATGCCGCCGGGTCCCAAGCCGCTGACTAATTCTTGCTTTTAGCCCTTTTCCGGTTAGTTGGGGGTTATCCCTGCCAAACATAAATTCTGTTGGGTCAGTTCAAGCACGCACCAAAATTAAACAAAAAAAAAGATGGAAAGCAAAGTGAAAGAATGGATGAAGTTGAAAAATTGTTTGGGTTGGTGGGCGAAAAAAAACACAAGTGGAAGGTAACAATTCTCAAGAACCCCGGAGCCTTAACCTTGCCGGGTAACTAATGGGTTAAGGCGGCCGAATTCTTGCATTCGGATTCAAGCAGCAGCGTACAGTTCTCGTTAGGCGGTATACCAATTGACACTGAATTTAATTCCGCATGAAGTGTTTCGCCATAGCCTGACATTTGAATTGGTAATTCCAGTGCCAGAGATGCCACCGCGTTTCGGGTGGCAGCCACCCCCCACACTCCATGCCCCTTTCGGCCATTTCTGCGCACACCACACAACGGAAATTGCCTTTTTTGCGCGACTTCCGCTTCTGTGCGAACGAACCCCTTTCCGCTTTTTTCCCGCCCAGCATTCGGCGATACTTCAGTAAGTGACAGCTTGCCATTGCCTCATCATGGAGCTGTACTTAGGAGAAATCTCTGCTAAATAAATATTTTACAATATCTATCAAAAATATCCAAAAACAAGTTTAAAATAAGCTCGTTTCTGTTTGGGGTAGATTTAACGTCATGTTTGCTGGGTATATGCATTGTGTACTGTTTTTTTAATATTTATATAACTCTTTTTTTTTTTTGAGTGTGAGCTCCTGCTCCAGTTTCTAGTTTCAGCAACACTTGGCATGCCACGCATAATGCTGTCAATGTCAATGTAACGTGTTAATTTCAAAGTGGTTTAGTTTGTTGACGCAGCTTGTTAGGAGGTAAGGAAAGGCTGTGGAGCAGGATCAGAGGCAGGGACAGGACCAGGAGCAGGGCAACCCGTTCGGGAAAAGAGCGACTCCTTTCGCCATCTGGGGCGTAAAATGTTGGGGCACATGTGGTTTATATGCCACTCGTCGAGCTCAGTGGGGAGTTGCTCAACTGCCTTTATCCTTTTTGCTCACGGCCTGCTGCTGATGATTTCTATCATGGCATTTGATTGATTGAAACTTTGCCCGAGTCGTGGGTTAAGGGGTTGCAAAAGTGGCGAAGGACTTCGAGGAGAGTTGCTTAGGGAGCTGATGTTTGCTGCTGGTGGCATTTAGTTTATTGAGGCATTTTGCAAGCTGTCAGCCAAGTATTGGCAAAATATTTGCATTTTAAAGTGATTAATTATGGGGCAGCTGGCAAGATGGGTTTCGATTTGCGTCAACTACAGTCAGCAGTCGATTTCTTGCAATCTAAAGTCAATTGTTTACAATCGTATAATAGGTTTGAGAATACTTAAGATTAGGTTATAATTAAGAAGATGGAATATTAACCGGGTTTGAATAATTCTAATTTACCAATAATTGAATATACTAACTAAATTCGTTACTCGTTAATATTATTTCTCTAAATGTCCTCGAAGACTTCAACAGAAGCTCTTTATGGGCACTATTCGGCAGTAAGGCTTACATACAAAATCCTTCGTCTAAGTGGGGAAAAAATAAAATAGGCCTACTGTCACGCGGCCAAGTACAGTCAGCCCAATTTCCATGGGGTCGATAAGTACCGCGCCAACTCTGAGCCCGAATGAAGCAATTCCAATGAGTTGCAGCCTCCCAATTTGCGGATTCTCACCAAAGCCCGGACATAAAAGGACTTCTGGCTGCCAAATTCAGTAGGCAAATGCAAATCCCATTCACACGGTTGCGCCGAACACAAAACCAACAAAAGTCGCTCCCCCCAACATTAGCAGCTTGTAAAAACTGTGAATGCTCCAAGCCCAGGGCCGTGCTCGTATTCCTGTTTATGCGCCAACGCCTCCTGTTACTCCTGTTTATCCTCCCCCTAAAAGGACCTCCTTCCACACGCCCAAGCTCATTACAAGGCTCAGCACCGCCAAATGCCAACTGTCATGTGGTTAGGGGTAAGCCCAAGTTCGGCAGTCCCAGAAGCAGAACAGGAACAACAGGAACAGCTAGGGGAAAATGCTGGAGCCGAGTGCCTGGGAAATGGGAAAATCTCCAGCTTCGGTTCGAACATCAACATTTTTGGCAGCAAATAAAATTTGCTTGTGTTTTCGAGAGATTTTCGTTGACAAAGGCGGGAATGGGAACCATACCACATGAATGTGCCGCACTGCACAGTAAGAAATTCCATTAATTGCTGCATTGAAAATAAATAAAGAGTTAAATATGGTATTACAAAATCCAGCTGTAAAATGGAATTGAAGAAGAAAATTTAGAAAAATGACTGGTATTTTATTATAGGAAATACTGTTGTTTTCCCCTTAGTGTCTCAATAGGGAAATACTGCAGTTTTTCCCTCAGTGTCGCAATATGGGAAGCGGAAGTAAAGGTGACAGGAAGTGTGGGCCTTTGGCCCAAAGTTCGACGCACTATAAAACGGAATGCAGGGACTTTCATTGTCGTAGGACGGAGCTCATAAACTTGTTAACTTAAATTGCCGTTTGGATGCCGGTGTTGGTATTAGGTCTTGTCTTCTGGTCTTCTGCTTCCAGTGTTGTGTGTACGGATTGTTCATCATTTTGTCAGCCAGCATCTGGCATTGACATGCTTAAACGTGCTCGGTAACACCAATTCCGTTGTTGTTTCGGAAAACAAAAGCCAATTATGTGGCCCGGAACGCACAAAACCATCTGCTGACCTGCAAGCCGAGAGCAGAAAGCCAAAGCCAAACTGCAGAAATCCTGAAAACGGCACACTTAGGAGGGCAAATTGCTGGAATTTCTCGCTTATCGCAAAACTTCACACTATGACGAACAAATTTCTCAGATTTCCTGGCGGTGCTAATATGCCTTGAGCTGGGTGTGAAATATAAGTATAAGTGCATATATCCCAACTATATCCATCAACGTAAAATGGTTCGCACTAAAACCCAAGGAAATCCATCACGCATTCCGGATCTTCTGATTCAGAGCCACCGAAATTTGATTTGTGACTAGAGAAGAGTAACAGCAATCCCAGCCCCATTTCGACCCCATTTTCTAGTTGACCGCAAAAAGCATACATATACGTATGTATTTAATCCGCATGCCAGCCACATGGCGTATGCGCAATAAAAATAACTGTCTATCCGCATAACCGACTAGCCCGAGGAAACTAAAAGTCCACCAGCGTGTTTCAAGCACTTGAAGCAATTTGTCTTGCCAGCTACGTGACTTATTCCACTCGCCTGGTACTCTCATGCCCGTCTTTTTATTACCTTTAGCATTCGCAACGTTCTGTCGGCGGTTCGAGGTCAGCACTTTCGCTGGCAGGCGCGAAAAATCCTTGCTACTACCGGATGTTGAACTGATTGCACAACATGTTGCACCAGCGTTGCACACGCGACAGCCATTTCCGTTCCATTCCGTTTCGTTCCGTCGCAAAGCGCCGCTCATTAGGTTATGCAAGTCGCAGATTAAGAGACGCAAAAAACAACAATACACTGCAAAATATCTCTCTCAATTCAAACTAAAAATGCAAATTCCTCTGCTATATTAAAAAATGTGTTGGGTTGAGAAAGTTGCCTTACAATTAATGGTTGATTAAAATGGTATACGTATAATATGTTCTGCCATTAATGCTGGCATTAAAATATATTTTTGGAATACTGAGAAAATCTGTCAAATAAAACCAGATTCGTATATATTGCAGAGATAAAAAGATCATTTTTCGCTCTGTAATCCGAAATACAGCCACCGGATTATCAACGACTATCTCAATGCCAAGTGCCAAGAGCTTAAAGAGCCCAGCGAACAGAATTTTAGAATCAACTGAAAGATACACTTGAAGCGGGCTTAAACCGCAAACAGCCACGTGAACAAAATCCCACAGAGTACAAAAAGTGCCAAGTAAAGGAAAGCATGAAAAGATAGCAAAAAGACAGTAAGAGAAAGGCTTAGGTAAACACACTCAAGAGATAACGCCCCCATTGTGGCAAGCAAACATATAGTACTACATGGCAGCCAAAGTTGAAAGTTGAAAGGGGGCGAGGCGACTTAAACACACTCAAGATACTGCGGTGCATTTGTCTTAATTTGTGACAAATGCAACCCAGGCAAACAAGCAGCCAGCACTATGAAAAATCCAGCGAATGGAAGGACATGGCACTAATGTCCTTTTTAAGCCCCCTAAAGCATGTACATCTCGAAAAGTTGCGACACATTAACGATATATGGTTGTTATGTTTAAGCACAACAAACCAAAAAGAGCTTAGTTTTTCAACATATACTTAAAATGCTAATAAAGATGAAAACAAAATTTAATCAATTTGAAAACCTTTCTTTGGAAATGTTTTAAATTTTAATAACAAAAAAAGTCCCCTTATTGATTTTTTCGGTGCTAGAAGTTTTTATTTATTTTGGAATGTATTTATAATTGAATACAAAAAGTAGTAAGACCCTCAAACCACTGAAAAGTGCAACACTAACTTGGTCTAGGAAGAAAAGCCCCAACAACAATTAAAAAAGTTGCCAGCCGGAAAACGCCCACCGACTAAACACAAAGCACATCCATTAGCTGAAAATGAAGGGCATGCGCTGTGATTCGCAACTAGCTAAGAAGCAATTGTCATTTACCGAACAACGCTTAAAAAACCCAAATTTGTAGTTTGTAATATTGTGGGAAAATTTTTGAAATTAGTTTCTCAAACGGAGGCTTCCGATGGCTGCCATGCAGAAGAAGGTCATCGTGGTGGATTCAAAGAGTTACTTCGATAAGCTCATCGATGATGCGGGAGCCACCCAACACGTGCTCGTCGAGTTCTATGCCAGCTGGTGTGGTCCTTGCGCGATGATTGGTCCTCGTTTAGAGCAACTGGCACTGGACTACTTCGGACGGATGCTGGTGCTCAAGATCGACGTGGATCTGAACGAGGATCTGGCCGTTCAGTACGAGGTCAACAGCATGCCCACATTCCTGATCATCAAAAACCGAGTGACACTGATCCAGTTCGTGGGCAGCAATGTCGATAGGGTCGTCAGCACGGTGGAGAAGTTTGTGGGCAAGGTGGAGGACTCCAAGGAGCACAAGTCGAAAGATATGCCGGTGTTGGAACGGGAAAAGCTTTAAATCTTTGGTGGTCTTTTAGTCTGTTCATCAGCATGCAGCAATGATCCAAATTAAAGTGTGTGGAAAAGTGTGTGATATAACGAACTTTTAAGTGATTTCCAGCCAATATCTGTCCCTAAAAAAGTTGTTGGTCAGAATCTTTGTATATTAACAGCATTTCAATCATTTTATATTAACCTTTCAAGCCCAAGGTCCTATTTAACATTTCGTATTAAGCCGTAGAGATTATTTGATCTATGTTCTCTTCGCTAATGCAAATTTTCACCGCCAAATATGTGTAATTAAATCTGAGAGCAGAGTGCGTGGTGTTGACCTTAACCGCTGCCACTTTAAGTGGCGCCGTTAACGAGATTCCCAATTAAGTAGATTCCAGCCTGGCTATCTAAAACAGTGCACGCTTCAAGTGCCGCACCCACCTCACTGCAAACAAAGAGCCTTTTGTTGCTCAGGGTCCTCATGCCACTGCAATCTGGGATCTACTTTATAGGGAGCCGGCATTGTCCTAAGCCATTGTTAGTGGCCGTAAGCCGGCCATATGTGCGACTCTCGCCTGTCGCTGCCATTATTTCAATTAGATTAATTAAGCCCGGCCCGCACGGCTCAATGCCCGATGTGTGGTGTTGGCCAAGTGGGCTATATTTTGGCAGTGGTGCTGGCAGGACATTGCAAGCCCAAAATTTAATCTCCTGATAGGGGGAGAATTGTAAAATTAACAATTGAACTGGCGTCAATTCCCTGTTCTACAACAAAATCAACTTGAGACTCTTGCTTTTGACAGAATTCCTGAAAAGAAACTAGAACATTTATTAGGACTTATAAAACAAAAGTCAGCGAACAGACTTTTTAATCCAGATTCTAGCAAAGGCACGGAAAATAAACGCGTGAAATGCAATTTAGAAATTAGGGAATTAATGGGCAGCATTTTCTAGCGAAGATATGCCAACCTAAATCACATGAAATGATCCATTTAACAATATTAACAGTGCAACACTTTCCAATTGTCACCACTACAATCCGCCAACATTGCGGCCCCATCTGGCTGCCCCAACTTTAAATGCGAATCAGCAACAGGGCCGGAAATAGTGGGACAGAGAGGGGAACACTGGGAGCGAGGGAGTGCGATGATATGTCCTTTGGGCACTGACAGCTGTAAACTGACACTTTGTTTTACTCAACGTTCAGCCGACGACAATCCTCTATTTTCATTCCTTTTAACATTCTTAAGGACCTTATTGAAAACTTATTTGCTTGGCGTAATTTTTTTTTCCTTCTGCTACTTTTTTGAAAGCTCTTGCATTTGTTTTCGTTATACCGTAAAATCGAAAAGTTTGCCGGCGTTTAATATGAGCAATGGATACCAGAGGAAAAGAGAAAAAATGGTGGTAGTGACGGGTATAGCGATAATAGAAAGAGACAACCAGCTGATGCTAGCTTGACTTTCTTCAGCCAGAGACATTTGCATTTTTATTAAAATGAGAAATTGCAGCAGTTGCAGTTGACTGAAATGCTGTCTTCCTCGTGCAGGCGCCACAAGGCTTGGACAAAGGAGTGGGGCCGGGTGGGGGTTAAGGTGGTGCCATGGGGTTAAAGCCGGGTTAGATGCTGATGCGATTTAAGGAGCGACACCAACTGATGAACAACAGAAAATTAAGTTTTTATTGATAGTATACCACGGATAAACAAATAAGGTTAAGTCCTTGAGGTTTTGTCACCAGTCCGCATAATATAAATATTGCAAAGATCTTTGCCGTTGAAAAAGAAGTAAAGTGTTTAATACTTTCTTTAAATGAATATGTCCTTGGTCATATATTGGATTCTATCGAAAGTGAACAGACAAACACTCAAATGAAATTCAAATGGAACTCAAACTGCTATCGAGTTTATATGAAATCAACATCTCAGCCAGGTGTTAGACTTCGATACTTGGGGGCTTACAAAGCGGTGTAATGTAACAAGCAATTTCCATTCATCAATTAACAATAATAGCATGCAACATGATATGTGGGGCAGCGAAACTACAGATAAACAATGGAAGTAAATCCGAAACCATATGCTCTCGGCTAAAACGGGAAATTGGAGAAGTGTGTGGCTATAAATTTGGAACTCGACCAATGCCGAGTCCTCGGCTAGCTGCGTTGGCCGTTGAAATTTATATGCCAAGCCTGCCAGCCTGGTCCAAAACCAACCGAACACCGCTCCTCCAGGCATCTCCTTTGTTATGCAAGTTAATCCTTTTTATAGCTATTGTTCAGCGCATCAACACGCCCCCCTTGAGCAGCACACGCAAACGCCCACGCCCTGTGCATTTGTTGCACAGGGGGGAGGGGTGGTGAGAATGGGTAAATGGGGCTCTGCAGGATGAAGGGGGCGGGGCGGGGCTTTGGGGGTTAGCAGCAGCTGTGGCACATGTCAGTGCATTTTTCAACGGCTCCAAGAGGCGACACTACCAAGCCAACATATTAGCTGCCACACATGCCGCACAGTGGGTTAAGGAAAGAACCAGGAGGGTTTGCTAGTGCTGATACCATTGAGCCTGCACTGTAAACAAACAATGTTTTGTATGTAGCAAATACATTAAAAATACTAATATTATCTTTAAGAATAGAGCTTTCATTTTGAGGAGTCCCATTTTACTACACAAATGATTTCTTTTAAAAACATACAAAAATATAGATTTCATATATTGATTCCATTACAAGAATTCCCAATAATTTCTCTCTGTGTGAGATTGGACTCCAGCCGGAGCTGATGCATGTGTAGCTACTGCTGATATCCGGAGCTAGAATCTGGCGCATGTTGCGGCCGCAGCAAGTGTTTGTATGGCATGCCGCAAATTCATTATTATTTTCATCCTCCTCCCGCCCCCGCAGCTGCATATAAACACTATCCCGTATGAAGTGGCAGTGGCTGCTTGGAAAAGTACGGAAAACAATGGAGGAAAAGCTAGATGAAAAAGACCTTAAAGACTTTCAACAAGTAGCAGGTCCAGAGGCGGCAGCTCGAAAGCAAATTGCTTCCAGTTGTTATCCTTTTTAGGAGACTAAGATCTTATGAAGTTCCCAAGCTCAACTTTACAGCTCTTAAGTGAACGAAGTCAAGGGCTCCTAGAAAAAGTTATTTCATTTGTAACTACTTAACTTTAGGTATATTCGTTAAATGCTTTTTCATAACTTTGAGGATGAGTCAAAATTTCGGATCATCATTATTTATAGAACTCTATATTTATAGAACTCTATAGTTATAGAACTCTACATTTTGCCCAATCTGTTTATCTCCAGGCAGATATACTTTTAGCGAAATCAAACGCATTTTGCTTTTTGAGTCCAACAGAACAATGAGTCTTAATTTAATAAAACCAGTTTGACAGCCTAAATGGGATACAACCATTCGGACAGATGACTTGGAACAGTTGGCTTTACATGCTTGCCCTTGATGTGGTTCTGCTCCTCATCACTGCTACACTGGCTGCAGTCACTAACACTATTTCCGCGCCGCAAAACTTGGGCAAAGGAGCTCGGAGGTTCCCTGGGCTCGGCCTCGGATAAGGATCCAGCTCGCATCCTTCGAGCATGAGCTCGAGCTATGGCTTCTGCCCGAGCGCGACGACGGCGTCTTCGGAAGGACTCATCCGTGGGCACATAGCCGTTTAGATCCAGCATGAATTGCGAGAACCGTCGACTCATTTCCCGGGTCTCCCTAGTGGAGCGACGATTACCCAAGGCTTCGAGTAGAGTGATGCTGTTGTCCTGGAGCCGGCTCTCCTCCGGCATAGACAAGCGACTGGGGTTGGAGCTCAGTCGTCTCCGTACCACTTGCCATGCTGGCAATCGAGTCGATGGTGATGGTGTGGATGTTACTGCGGCAGGGGGTATCAAATTGGTCGTACCCCGCACCGATCGTAGACCGAAGAGTCCGGTTTCGAGCTCCATGTTGGACTCCCCGGATCCCGATGCTTGACTGCCATTCACCGAGGTGATTGACACCGATGGTGAAACTGTTTGCGAAACCGTATCCGATTGACTTGCGTCTAGATTTTGATTGGGACTCATTGGAGCTGGAGCGAAAGATATGGGCGGATCCTCCTCGATTTCCTCTATATCCTCTGCCTCTGCATGCAATTCGGATGATGACATTTTTAAATGAAGTGAAAAAATAGAGCTGGGACGAGCCGAGAAGTGATTTTGCTTTCAACTGATTTAAAAATGTTCCGAATAGTTTGTGTTGACAGTTTTGAAGTTAAATGACAATGTGTTCAGATTACATGGAATACATCGTAATATTCTGTAAACAAATTTGTGTTCATCCGATATTTGCATCCGATTATTTCCCTTAAATAATTTTGACTTGATTTATACTATCCTGACTTTGTTTTTAATGCTACATATGATGGCATGCTATACAAAATTCGAAGCTAGTAATGAATTTAAAATGCCTTGTAAAATAAAACTTAATCGTAGGAGATCTCTAGAGTATTTTATGCATTATGGATATTGGAATTTTCAATGAGCTTATGACTATGACCATGCATATAAGACAAGAATATGGATATGCCATTCTTATCAATTTGGCGATTTCTTTTGGAATTTATTTTCATTGAAACCTCAAAACTGTAGCTATTTCCTCGTGTTTTATCGATGAGTAATTAACTGCATTTTTGCCAATTTTCTTGCCCCAACATAAGTTCAAATGAATTGGAAAAGATGGAGAATTCTCGTCCATGAAGCTCTTCTCCCTTTGGTTTCTGTATGTGACTGCCCGTGGCTTTTCAAGTTAAGTGGATTGTGTTAAATTGATGAAACTTCTGTTGGGGTTTTCCCTTTCGCCCCATCGGGTTTTCTCCAACTTTTGTTTGTTGGGCCGTCCGTTGTCTGTCGGCAGCCACTTGCATTTTCTTCTTTTCGCACTTGACAAATGCACAAATGAAAAATCAAACAGTCCGTCGTGCACATGGCATCTGTTGGATTAGCAGACAAGTTTCAAAGGGCGAGTAGTCCTTACTCCTATATCAATAACCAGGCGATTTGTCAGTTAAGCGTGGCCTATCCCTCATTCAGGGACAACAAATTACTAGCCGCTTTTGAGCTCATTAATATTTAATGCATTTAGGCAGCCTGGCAGATGTGACCGCCACTAAGGGACAGAATGTTCCAGCTCAACCGCAAGTTAAGGAACTTTAATGGACCGTTTTGGCAAATATTTATTTGCCCTGGTCAGTTGTAAAATGACTTAATGGATAGAAAGTCGTTAAGGATTAAAGTGGGTGTGCATTCAACTTAAGCCCAACCATTTGGCCACAGATGAATATTTGTCAAGAGAGCTTTTGAAACTATTAAATCATTTGTGTAGTAAATTATAAGCCAAATGCAGGCACAACTTTTAGGCAAATGCTTTTAAAGAACATCGCGTAATCTGACCTCTTTTAACTTTAAAGTTTTCCTACGCTTTTTTTCGGTTCCGTTTGACAATTTAGAAAAATATTTTATGCACATTACCACAAAGGTCGCAGCACATTTATCACATTTGTTGTTTAGCTGTGTGTCCTGTCCTGTTTTTGTTGACTTATTTTTTTTTCGTTCCGTTACCACTCCCCATTGGGGATGCTGTGCTTTTATCTTCGCTTCCAGTTGGCTTTGCTCCACTCACCTACGTTGGCTGTCTCTTTATAGTCGGCTACGCAATTCAATTTATTTGGTATTTCTTATTTATTTTACTTTTTTCAACTTTCCTCCTTTCTGGGCTCTTGGGTTCGTTTGGCTCGCTTTGGCACTGACAATTGAAAAACCGCAGTCAGGCGGGCAAACAAACAGACCGACAAACAAACAAGCAAACAAACAAACAAACGCTTATAAACGCGGCCATTCTCAATGTACAACGGGGCGTATGAGTTACGAGTTATGTGCAATGCGCAGTTTGGCAGTCTGGGTTTGTGTGGCTGCCACAAAAACTTCTTGGTGTGTCTTTGTTCCTTCCTCGATTCGGGTTTTCTTGGTGTGTTTGCTCATTTAAATTGTTTAATTTGCATTAAGTGACAGGCAGCAGTTATTTTCGTGGGATAAATTACGCGGGTCCTTGAAGAATGTGAGGCATTAAAAGAAGGGAACAAAATATCACCACCAAGTGTTATATGAACTTTATCACTATTAAAAATAGCTTGGCAACAAATTTAAATCAATAATTTCTAAAACACGTGTGTATATTATAACCAAAAATATTAAGATATTTATTACACATTGTAATAAATCCAGGTATCAATTAAAATGCCCCGAAAAATCAACGACGAAGTGAAAACGTTTCCACCCAGATGGGAATATTTTTGAAAAGCATGTGAAATGCAAATAAAATTTGTGCAATAAATCATTGCTAAAATGTCAGTAAAAATGCCGAAGAAATGCAGGCGGAATGAAAAACGAGAATTGCCGAACTGGAAACTGAATGAAATACCAAACAATATATTTGTATATAAATAAAATCAACTTTATCCCTCTTTTGATGCAGCTGCATGTTAAACGTGGAAAGCCAAGTAATTAAAATACGATAAAATGTCTGGTAATGATCTTTCGGTGACTGAAACAGCACAAAGCGATCAGGTATGTAATCTACCCCAATCAGCTATACTTAATCTCCATATTAGTATAATACCCCCAAAAAAAGAACGTTTTCCCAAACAAGTGCCCACAAATTCACACATTATTTATACGGAAAATATTGCATGCATTTAAGGCCTTCACAGCTATGAATATAGTATTGGTAATGAAACCCTTTGATCCCACGCCATTTAGGTATTAACTTTTGTTTACATATTCACTGTTTGATTGCTGGCACGGTTTATATTTGCTATGATTTTTGCAGACCGATTTTTGGTTGCATTTTGAGCCGGATATTTTCAAAAACCATTGTTTGTTCTGCATATTTTATAGTTGCCCTTCCAAGAATGATGAGGGCACCATAAGTGGTTAGGTGATACCGCACTCCCATTCGGTTTGAATATTCATTTTTTCCAACAATGATTTTTCTATCTGTGCGCGTGTGTTTTTTTTTTTTTGGTATTTTTGCATAAATTATGGGCGTATTTAAGGCAATTTAGGGCCTTATTCACATAGCATTTGGTTATTTTGTTGCCATTTTATTGCTGCATTTAGGTGTTTGCCACACGTACGCACATGGCCATACTGAATGGGCTGTGGGTTTCTGTGTCAAAGAAATGTAATTTATTACGGCCACGCATTCTAATTTTAGTACTCTCGTTGAATTGAAAACAAGGTTTATAGAACAATTATTGAGTCAGTTTAACTGGTTTCAACTTTTTGTATGATAGTTTAAAGCATCACCTAATTATTATTATTTAATTGAATTGTTCTGTTAAAAATAACATGCTTTCCATTTTAAAAGCCCTGCATTGAGTTATTAAAGGATAAAAACTGACGTTACAGAAAAAAGTGTATATCGTTAATTGGTTCAACAAATATGTTTGTGCATTTAAAGAACCGAGGATACCTGCCAACAAATTTCACGACCTTGTGTCTGCAACTCAAATACATTTCGGTTATGACAACTTTTTGGCGCTGCCAGCCCCAATTAACATGATTCGTTACCATGTTCCCAGTATCCTTCAGATGAGCTGCCAAAAATCAAGCCATCGTTGCCTACTTTTTGGCGCACTGATCAAGCACTAATCAAATAGGGCCTCAAAGCATCCAGCCAGCCAGTCAGCCAGCCAGCTCATGGCAAATTGTTTGGTATTTACATATCATTTGTGTACATCCCAGCCCCTTCCCCCGCTCTACCCCTTTCGGCACCCCGGAAAGAGAACCCAAAGACTGCTCATTACGCCAGACGACATCGGAAGATTGTGGGTCGGAGGTCGGAGGCTGGCCAACTGGAGATATGGAGAAGTGGAGAATGGAAAGAAGCCGTGACACAGTTAAAGGGCGAGTGTGCAAAAATTTGCTGGTGCCCTGCCAAGTGGGCTAACGATTTTGTGTCCGCTTTGTCTGTGTCTATGGGAAGGTACACTGGGAGAAAGCGCTCGTAAAACTACGACTCACTAAGGTGCTACCAACTTTGAACTCTGCGGTTATTTGAAGTTTCTAGCCAATATTAAAAATATTTTTATAGTAAGAAAAAAAAGTATTATTTTTTATATTTTTTTTTAGTTGTGACTTATAGTTACTGCATTTTTCAGTTATGTCGCCTATATTTCAGAAACTAAAAGCTAAACTAAACTTAACTTTATATTATACACTTTTGTAAGCATTATGGTTTATATTACAAGGGAAGCAATATATTTATAAATAGGTTCATTTACACTTTTGTTGCACTTTACACTTTATTTCTCTGCGTGTCGATGTGTTTGAGAGCGAGGCGGTCGACATTTGGTCGTTATTTGATCATCATTAGTGATACGATTCCCGCCCGAATCTGAGCGCAAGTAAAGTGGGGTCGCCTGCATGTGGGCTCCTCTTCATTGTCCCCTGGCCAGCTCAACCCTTCCCTCGCTATCCTGCCCCTATTCTCCTATACCCCCCCCCCCCCCCTCCCCTCGCCCGCACGGCAGGGTTCAGAGGTCGCGCCTCGATTTGCTTGGCTGCACCGAAAAGTTGCAACAAAAGTTTCGTTCAACCGTTCGGACCGGTCTTTGTGTTGAGCTTGACTTGGCTGGCTCTTTGATTAAACCCCAAATCCGGCGGGAGTTGGCCAGAAACCGAAGGGGGTGCGGGGTGGCTGGGGGCGATACGTTGGCTTACGTAGTGCTATAGTGTAATTAAATAATTGCGGTGAGCGCCGCACTCGCCAAACCAAATCGAGCTAATGTATTTGGCGCAAAAGCTCACTCGTTGCATTTTTCTTTCTATTTTATTTTTTTGGTTTTTCCTGCTATTTCGTTTTATATGGATTTTTGGTATGGTGTTTCTTTTTGGCCATAGTTTTTGGCTCGTTCAAGTTTTTCTTTGCTATTTACTTTAACCGACTTTGGCGCAAATTTCATTTCATAACTTCGTTTTCGCGGTTTTCCCGATAGGGGATTTAAGAATTGCTGTTGATCTAATTTGTTGAGGTGAAAATGTTGAGTGAACCCAAGCAGTTGGCGAAACTTAGTGTTCACTACCTAAATCAAGTTATACAAATTCTCAGTTGCAAAAGCGGTTTTTATCATGCATTAAGAACCAGTTTTACCTACTTGCATGTTTTATTTATAGAAATACTAACTAGTTTTTAAGAACTATTGTATAACATTTATTTTTAGTCAGTTATGGAAATAATTGTTCAATTTTTAATATACATTGGAAATACGTGGATGAAACTTGTTTAAATTGTTTAAAGATTTTCTTGTTCTTGTTCAAATTAAGCTGACATCGTGGCTTCA